TGTAGAGTTGTTTTTTTTTTTTTTCCATATAGGTTAATACAGGTTGAATGGTGGCCCATCAAAAGATGTCTATGCCCTAATCCTCAGAAACTGTGAATGTGATCTTATTTGGAGAAAAGGGTCTTTGCAAATATCATTAAATTAAGGATCTTAGAAGGAGATTATCTTGGATTATCCATGTGGGCCCTAAATCCACTGACAAGTATCCTTGCAAAAGAGATACAGAGAGAGATGGATACAAACAAAGGAGAAGGCCACGTGAAGTCAAAGGCAGAGGTTGGAGTGATGCAGCCACAAGGGAGGTTGTTAGCCACCAGAAGCTGGAAGAAGCAAGAAAGGATTCTTCCCTAGAGCCTACGGTGGGAGCACAGCCCTGCTGATATCTTGCTTTTGGATTTCTGGCCTCCACAACCATGAGAGAATGAATTTCTGTTGTTTTAAGCCACCTGGTCTATGGTAATTTGTTATGGCAGGCTCAGGAAACTAATAGAGCAAATAATGAATGAAGAAAGAGTTTGAGAACAAATTTCTTTTTTCAACCCTCTTCCAGTGTACTATGTTCTCCATTTTTACAAACTAAGGTCACAGCCATTTAGATAGTAGATTTACTGGGCTTTAAGACTGGTAGTCGTTACTGCATATGCCAAGACATCAAGTGATTCTGACTTCGGGCGATCTGTCATCACCCCAGTTCTAGGAAGGAATGCTGGCCTACCACATTTTTACACCTTTCAAGTGTGTAAACAGAAACTAGCAACAGACTAGGGGCATGTCAGGTGAGAGTTATGTAGGAAGAATTCCACACGTAATCTCTTTTATCCCCTTCCCTACTGTCCTCTTCACTTCAGATTCCTTTCTTCCTGTGTATTACAGAAAGAATGCCATAGGAAGGACAGTTATTAGGCTCATCTCCTTTTTCTGGGCTAGGAGAAGAAGGGATTACATACTTAAGGCTAATGATATTTATTCTCACAGAAAGATCAGTTGAAGCCTTCTTTGTTTGCATTCTGTGAGGCAAATGTTCATGGTTTTAAGATTCAACTTCCTGATAAAGTAAATGAATCCTGTTTAAGGGAGAGAACAGTTGCAAGACAGAAAGGTTATTTTGGAAAGCTTTCTATATAGCACACAGCCAATTGAAATTGAGAAATGAGAGGATAGAGAAAGGAGAGAAAGAGGAGGGAGGAAAGAGAAAGCAAGGGAGACAGAGGGAGATAGAAAGAGGGAAGATTCATTTACTAGACATCTGGATGTCTGGTGGTACTATTCACTGAACTAAGGACATAAAAAGAGGAGGATCAGATTTGGACAGGATGATGATACTATGGTTTGGGACATGCTGTGTTTTCTGTGATGATGTCCAATAGCTATTTGGATATGTATGTCTGATGCTAAGGAATGAAGGCCAAGTGAGGATTTAGTTGTTATTTTATTGTATGCAAAAAATTCTATGGCCTTTGCCAAACCAAAGTAAAAAGGAGTTTAAGATAGTACATAATTTATTCAGTGTATTTCTAGGGTTGGCTCACATTAGTTTAGCCTGACTTAATCTGTGTGTTTCTGCTCATATCTTTAAAAAGTGAATGTTGACATTATAGTATTCTTATTCATACCATGTCTTCTGACTCTCAAGCCTCAAGTGAATTTATCTTGACCTATGTGATGTATAGTTTTCTGGATGACAGCTATTTCACTATATCTGTTTTTATACTGATTAACTATTCTTATCTTGTGTATGTGATGTCCATGGAGTCAGGGACTGTGTCTTGGGTGCCCCGTGTTACATTCATAGCTCCCAGTCCACGGCAGATACTAAAATATATGCTGAAGGGACCAGAGATTTAATTACATGTAACACATAAAATGTGTCGTATACAATGATGCCTAATAATGATTTACTGATGATAATGAGCAAGACACCTGACTTTTGTGATTTTCACTTTCTTCAAGAGGAAAAAAGAACAAAGGATGGTGGGAAGGATTACAAAATGTCTTTCAATTGTTCATAGCCAAATGGGAACAAAATTTTCATTACCCATTCCATTTTTTTTCCTCCAGGAGGATAATCATGAGTTAACCACAACGGTAAGAATATTTGTGAACATAAAAGTGTTTTTAAAAGCTTGGTGATTATTCAACCATAAAAAGGAATGAAGAATTGATACATTCTACAACATAGATGAACCTTTAAAACATTATGTAAAGTGAAAGAAGCCAGACACAAAAGGCTATATGTTCATTTATATGAAATATACAGGATAGATAAATCAGTAGAGATAGAAAGCAGAGTAGTGGTTGTCAGAGGTTGGGAGAAGGAAAGTAACTGTTTACTGGGCATGGGGCTTCCTCTTCAGGGTGATGAAAATGTTCTGGAACTAGGCAGTGTGTGATGGTTGTACAATATTGCCAATATACAATACTAAGTGTCTCTGAATTGTACAATTTAAAATGGTTAAAATGGTAAATTTTTTGTTATGTGCATTTTAGCACAATTAAAAAAAGACTGACAATAATTCTGACCATCAGTTTACTAGAGTGAAATGATTAGTGTCTACAATGCCCATATAGAAAAGCAAACATTTAACAATATCACCTAAAGCTACAACAGAATAATCTAGCTCTAAATAAAGCATGGTTCCCCTGTATGAACCAAACTTGTGCTTGGAAAAACATGGAAGGGGACAAGTGTGTGTATTTTGTGACTTTGAGATGTCTAAGCAATGAAGTTACTGTGATTGTCTGTCACTAAATGGCTTTTTAAAATAGATCTATCAACAAATGATAGAATGACTCCTAAAGCCTAAGGAATAGGATGGAATAAGACAGAAAGGAAAATGTAGCTCACACTAGCTCATGAAACATCCACGATTGAAGACTTAATCAGGACTATTTATGGAATGAAGAAGGAAAAACAGATTCCATAAGGAGCCTATAGGGAAAAGTTTTCCTCTGACGAAGGATTTCTGAAGAATGTTATGACTATCTAGAAAAATGGGGGCAGGATTTTTCTTTTCCTAGCCAGGTGAAGAGATTCTTTTCTTCTCCCAATAGAATAGTTAATTGTTTGTTTGCCAAAAGATTCGCTGATGTAGCTACTGACTGTAGTTGGTAGAGGCCAAAAGAAGATATTATTAGAACCTGATGTTCCTGAGACTGTGTGGAGAAGTTATGCACAGAAAAAGTTAAAGAAGTTTAAGAAACTTCTCAAATTATTCTGGAAGCAGTGGGCTGGTTTCTCAACCCCAAGAAAAGCTAATTTCAAGTAAATCTATTTGGATTCCTTGCATTAGGAAACACTGTAGATACAAATGTTATGTGAATTGGAGACAGAACATATAAAACCTTCTAAAAAATGTTCCTCTGAAATCAGAAAAAATATAAGATGGCCATACCCAGAATTTCACAAACATTTAGAACCACCTTCAACATTTGTTTCAAAGAGAGTTTTGGGAAGTGAAAGTTGATTTTTCAGATTTCAGGCCTGAGATAAATCAGTGTATTAATGATAATTATCTACCTACCAACTTGTCCCTTCAATATGGCAACCTAAGTCTTCATTGCAGACATGATCACAGAAATTTTACATAGAAAGGTATATGTTGGATCAAATACCCATCAATTCATTGTTAAAAATGAACTATGTTTACATACATACTATATACTATTATGTACAGGGCTCAAAACAAGACACTGTACAAGAAGGAAAGAAGTCATATTTAGGACTTCCCTGGTGGCGCAGTGGTTTAGAATCTGCCTGCCAATGCAGGGGACATTGTTCGAGCCCTGGTTCGGGAAGATCCCACATGCTGTGGAGCAACTAAGCCCGTGTGCCACAACTACTGAGCCTGCACTCTAGAGCCCACGAGCCACAACTACTGAGCCTGAGCGCCTAGAGCCCCTGCTCTGCAATAAGAGGAGCCATGGCAATGAGAAGCCCGCACACCGTAATGAAGAGTAGCCCCCGCTCGCTGCAACTAGAGAAAGCCCGCGCACAGCAACGAAGACCCAGTGCAGCCAAAAATAAAGTTAATTAATTAATTAATTTTAAAAAAGTCATATTCAAATTGAGAAGCTAAGATATCTGCACATTAAAAATAATTAGCAAAAACTATAGTAGCAGAAGATTGTAAAATATCTGTACCGAATGACTTCTATCAACAATAAATACTATAGGACTACAGAAAAGGGAAAGATTGCTGTTAGTGTAGACAGGGGAAAAGGGAGTTTGAATTAGATTATAAAGGACAGACAGGATTTATGTAAGTAAAGATTACATAATTTTTTGAGCAGGCAGAGAATGTTGTGAGCGAAGGAATAAGACAAGAACTATAGGGAGTTAGCAAATGACCATTTTGTTTAGCATATGACATTATAAACAGAAAGGGACGAGACATAGGGCAGGAATACAGAACACGCTCAACACAAATGTACTAATAAATAATGACACTGAATAAATTCTATACATAACCTAATATAATTTGAGCTGATAAAGCTGGTCTCTTAAAATCCTTCTAAGAATGGAAGAGGATAAGAATTGACATAAGAATATAATGGCATTTATCCATCCATTTGACAACTCTTTTAATGAATTTCTATTATATACCAGGAACTCTGTGTTCTAGAAACTGGGGATATAATGATGAAAAAGACAAGAGTCTTATTCTCATGGATCTTATATTTTGTTGGGGGAATACAGATGATAAGAAAAACCCAAGTGTATAAAAAGGTGGTAAGATAATATAGATAGCATTAAATGTCATAAAGTAAATAGAGTAATGAGATATAAAGTGACAGACAGATAGGACAGTTAGAGAAGGCCTCTCAGAAAGTAACATTTCGGTTGAGAGTTGAATGATGAGAAGAAGCAGTAGTGGAAGGAGATGATGGTAATTTTATTTTATTTTTTTTTTTGCGGTATGCGGGCCTCTCACTGTTGTGGCCTCTCCCGTTGCGGAGCACAGGCTCCGGACGCGCAGGCCCAGCGGCCATGGCTCACGGGCCCAGCCTCTCCGCGGCATGTGGGATCCTCCCAGACCGGGGCACGAACCCGCATCCCCTGCATCGGCAGGCGGACTCTCAACCACCGCGCCACCAGGGAAGCCCGATGATGGTAATTTTAGAAAGAAGGAACAGAAAATACAAAGAGCTTCTTCTGGGATCCAAAACATAAGACATTACTAATTATCTCAATGATGGTTATTTTCATTTGCAACTGAGCAGAACCACAGAGAACCCTATTCAAATTTAGAAGCAAGGTGTGAAATTTACAGTAATTACCTTATATCCCTCTGTTCCAGGCTCTCCTCTCTCTCCTTGTTCCCCCATTGGACCCTACAGAGACGACAGGCAAAAACAATCAATGGGTCTAAGTATTTGTGAATGCAGATGATACAGTTAATGTGGAATATTTTCTCCGTAAAAATATGAAACCAAATGTACAACAGTTTGTTTAGCTCCACTAAATAATTTCAAAGGATTGGATTTTAGTGACACCAAGAACGTCATAAGCACTGAATTATTTAAAGAGAATATCATAATGATTCTGCTAGAAAAAAATATTGAAATAATGAAGTCCAAACAATGTGAATTTTCAGATGAGTAAAGTATGTTTTATAAGATATCAAAATAACTTGCATTTTTACTTAATGTTAAAATGATTGAAAAAAATTTAAGCAGGACCAGTCACTTAACTCCATTAATTAGAAAATATTATCTTTAATCATCTTTTAAAAAGTATCTAATAGCTAATCTTACTTTACCGTTCTTCATTAGAAATTATATTGTTTATTCTTTACTCTGTGAAATTCTAATTATTAAGATATCAATTAACCTAAAAGAAATTACATTTATTCATTTTAATCCTTAAGGCAGAAACTAATAAACTTCTACTTTTAACTTTTTCTAAACATTCCTAATATAAAATCTTTGATATGCTAAGATGTTCAAATTATCTACTCTAAAATGTGCTTGAAAAATCAATTATCACATATTAGGACCTACTGTTTGAAAAGAAACTTAAATTGAAATTATTAGCAAAACCATAAAATTTATTATGGACCATTAATGGATAAATTTTAACTTACTCCTGTGTGGATAAAGGTATCAGACATAATGTAAAGACAATAATCTCTGACTCTGCTTTAATTATTTAGAATATTCTTAGATTAATTTTCACACCTGTCCCATGTCTACTAGATAAAATGACCACTGTTATACTAGACTTTTAAGACATTTATTATATTTCAGTGACATTCTTTGACCCTGGAATACCGGAATCTGGGGAAAACAAGCACTACTAATACTTCACTTGCCCACATATTACCATTTACTTAAAAAAAAAAATTTTACTGGATTATAGTTGATTTACAATGTTGTGTTAATTTCTGCTGTACAGCAAAGTGACTCAGTTATACATATACATATATCCACTCTTTTTTAGATTCTTTTCTCATATAGGTCATTACAGAGTATTGAGAAAAGTTTCCTGTGCTGTACAGTCCTTATTATATCTGTTTTATATACAGTGGTGTGTACATGTCGATCTCAGTCTCCCAATTTATCTGCCCCCCTCCCCCTGCTTTCCCCCCTGGTAATCATAAGTTTGTTTTCTACATCTGTGACTCTATTTCTGTTTTGTAAATAAGTTCATTTGTATCATTTTTTTTAGATTCCACATATAAGTGATATCATATGTTTGTCTTTATCTGAATTATTTCACTCAGTATGACAATCTCTAGGTCCATTCATGTTGCTGCAAATGGCATTATTTCATTCTGCTTTATGGCTGAGTTAATATTCCATTGTATATTTCTGCACAATTTCCATATTTTTGTCTCTCAGAGGTTTAGAGAGACTAGAATACATTTGATAAAGAATTTAAAAAGTACCATTCCATCCCTTAATGATCTATTTCCTAAATTTACATAAGTTTTGGGGTAACTTGGAATTCTTTTTCTTCAACTGAGGTATACTTAATATACAATATTATGTAAGTTTCAGGTGTACAACATAGTGATTCACAATTTTTAAAGGTTATATTCCATTTATAGTAATTATAAAATGTTGGCTATATTCCCTGTGTCATACAATATATCCTTGTAGCTTATTTATTTTATACATGGCAGTTTGTACCTTTTAATCCCCTAAACCTGTCTTGCCTCTCCCCACTCCTCCCTCCCCACTGGTAACCACCAGTTTGCTCTCTATATCTGTGAGTCTGCTTCTTTTTTGTTGTATTCTATTCACTATTTTGTTTCACTTTTAGATTCCACATATAAGTGATGTCATACAGCATTTGTCTTCCTCTGATTTATTTCACTTAGCACAATAATATCCACATACTACATATATGCACACATACACTATATATATACACACACACATGCTACATCTTCTTTATCAGTTCATCTGTTGATGGACACTTAAGTTGCTTTCATTATCTTGGTAATTGTAAACATTGCTGCTATGGACATTGGGGTGCACATATCTTTTCTGATTAGAGTTTCTACTTTGTTTCTGGATATATACCCAGGAGTGGAATTGCTGGCTCATATGGTAGTGCTATTTTTAGTTTTTTGAGAAACCTCCATACTGTTTTGCACAGTGGCTGCACCAATTTACATTCCCACCAACAGTGCACAAGGTTCCCTTTTCTCCACATCCTCACCAACATTTGTAATTTGTGGTCTTTTTGATGATAGCCATTCTGACAGGTGTGAGGTGATATCTCATTGTGGTTTTGATTTGCATTTCCCTGATGATTAGTGATGTTGAGCAACATTTCATGTGCCTGTTGGCCATCTGTATGTCTTCTTTGGGAAAATGTCTATTCAGGTCTTCTGCTCATTTTTTAATTGGGTTGTTTGTTTTTTTGCTGTTGAGTTGTATGAAATGCTTATATATTTTGGATATTAGCCCCTTATTGGTCATATTATTTGAAAGTATTTTCTTTATTCAGAAGGTGTCTTTTCATTTTGTTGATCGTTTCCGATAAAGTACTTTATATATTCTTATTAGGCGAGTTTGCCTCTATATGAGTTGGCTTGATTTTATCAGAAAAACTCTAGAATCTTTCCTGTTTCTAAAACAAAGTATACCTTTCAACCATCTCCAAAGAGTCAGATCAAAATATCAGGAGCGACTATATATTTTGATTCTTCTGTTTTAGGATTCTTTTTCCTATATGATATCATGTGAAATATGGAAAATTTAACGAATTATATTTATTTCTGTGAACCAGGCATTTTTGTTTTACCCATTTAATTTACATATAGCCTTTAAGACTGTTTTAATCAAACATGAACAGAGAGACAGTTACTCAGATAATCAAAGATAAAATAGCTACTTTAAAAAAATCATGGTTACAGCTAGTCCTTAAAATGCTTATTAGAAGACTATAGACTGATAATCTTTAAAGAACAATGGCTCTAATAATCGGTTAAATGAGTTTTGAAATCATTTGGTAACTGTGTATAAACTACTATAGAAAAGCATACAGATCAGATTTTTAAAAATCTGTTAGAAATAAATCTGAATTTGATGTATAAAGAAGTATCTGCCCTAAATGTCTAGAGTATGTGATTTTTTGATAATCTCTGTAAAAAAGTTGTTATCATGAATTTAATGCTGCAAATTAGATTTGGAAAGTTACTGTTTTAAACTTCTATACTATGCTAAGGATCTTGACCTGAATATAAACAGTTTTTATATTTAGATAATAAAATTGATTATATATTTAGATTATAAAATTGCAGATTACTGCAAATACTGCTTTTGTATAAAACCATGTTATAAAACTAACTAAATAAAACTCCTTGAAAAGATGTAATTGGTGTTATGAATCTATTGTAGTAACTGTGTTTTATCTTAAAACATCAAAATAATTTTAGGAAAAACCTACTGGTTCACCTCGAGGCCCAGGTGGTCCTAGGACTGTTTTATCTTCTCCTGGATAACCCTATGATGGAGATGATTTATAAACAAAATTAAATTAATAAAATAAACTTTGAAATATGAAGCCTATTATTTCCTAATATGTTATAAAATATGCAATCTGGTTTTATCTTTTTTAAATGAAAAACTTATCTACAAAACTTAGCACATGATAATTTATACACGGTTGTAATTCATACATGGCTCTCTTTGGAAGTGTCATTCTGCTTTAATTACATCAAAAGCAGCTTACTAATTTTCTCAAAGTGTCAGTTTTCCAATGATACTACAAATCAAGAAGAGTACTGCTGCAGTTATTCTTAATTCATAAAAAATTTTACTATAAATGTATAGTCATTTAATCTAGTCTCACAATCGCTTCCAGTAATTAATATTAGTTTTACAAACTTTTACAGATTGCAAAGTACTATAACATACATCATTTCACCTCAATCTTGAAACAACTTATCAAAGACTTTTTAATAATTTATTTAAGTTTTTGCCCCTTGATATTTATTTTTCTTCTAGAATTTATAATACTTCCCAAGTTGAAAGTGCTTTTTTTATTCTTTGAAAATGTTTCTGTACATACTTTCAGAAATTTAATGAATTTAATGTTTAATTTTATGATAAATAAGTCAATATATTCATACACACCTTTTCTCCTTTAGGTCCTGGCAACCCGGAAAGTCCTGGTTGACCTTCATGGCCCTAACAGAAGGACAAGTAAGTAGACAGTTTCCATATCATTTGTATGTGCTCTACCTAATACCATCATGGCCACACTATTAGATATTGCACTCTTCTGAAAGAAGAACAGGATTCACTCTACAGGGGCATGAGATCTAAATATGTTAGAAAGGTTTATCAGAAAATTTCATCTGAATTTGTATATTTGGGATGACATCTTCATGTAATGTTTTTATGCAAATATACACTTCTTATTTCCAATTAGAAATGCTTACCCTATATCCTGGAATTCCTGGTTCTCCAGAAGGTCCCATCAATCCTAAATGTCCCTAAAAACAAAGTAAACGTTAGAAAGAAAACAGACAATTGTTTAAATCATTAACCTTGTATTCCTATTATTTAAAATTTAAATTTTTAAGGTATGATATTTTACCTAGTCTGAAATGGGAAAACAAAACATAATTCTCCAACTTTCATCTTACTTTACTTCTGAACCACGTAAGTTCCACAAAAATATGTTTCTTTGGTTTACTTCTGGTATGAACATCCTTAATCATATTAAGAGAAATACTTTCAGTTGCCAGAATGCTGTAGGCTTCCAGCAAATTCTTGGAAATGGAGTTTGCATCTGTCAAAGTTTGTGGTAAACATGCATCACTAAATACTAGAGAGTGAATTCTGATAGTTTTTAGTATTGTTATGATAGGATCAAGAACTCTGTACTCACTGCTAGTTTCAGATGCTTTGATGAACACAGTTTCAGCTCTGGTCAAAGTTGTTAAAATAGAATTGGTTGACAACTTATGTATAATATTTACCCTATTAATTACTCTTATTATCAATATCACACAGATGAGGAAACATATAAGTTAAAGGCAAATCTGTAAATGTTCCTAAACTACTGAAAAGATAACTCAGACAACTGAAAAAAGCAAAAATAACACTCTTAAAAATGTCCTATCTTTCATATTATCAAAGTTCCCCTATCAACTCTCCTATTTGAGTACCAAAATAAATAGAAGATAAGGAAGTTAAGGCACAGAATAAGTATGTGACTACCAAATACCACACTAACCAGAAGGTCTACTCAATGTAATAAGGATAATAAATATGAGGAGATGATACGATTATTTACCTAAAGAACCCTGAGAATCATCAAAATTCATTCAAATGAATATAAAGTTTTAAAAAAAGATATTTTACACAGCATAATCAGAAGATGTAATAGAAAAAGGATTACCTTAAGAACAACAAAATCTACAAGAAACTAACAATGAACCTAATAAGACAGATGTTAAGAACAGAGATAAAGGAAATAACAAAACTTTATTGAAGGATATATAAGATATAAGTAAATAAAAAGACATATGGTGTTTCTACAGTGAATGATTCGATATAAAAGGAACTTGCTAAGGTGATTCTGAAGTTCACATGAAAGAGGAAAGAGATCACAGTAAGAGCCAAACTTTTCAGAAATATAAACTATGAAGTATTTGCCCTAATAGATCTCAAATGATACTGTAATGATACAGTTATTTAAATGGTGTGGTACTGACCTAGGAACACACTAAAAAATCGAGAAAAGAAGATGAAAACAGACCATTATTTAAGAGTAGCTTACAGTAAGGGTAGCATTTCAGAAAAATGGGGAATAGATTGTTTATTAAATAGTATTGGGGCTTCCCTGATGGCACAGTGGTTAAGAATCCACCTGCTAATGCAGGGGACATGGGTTCCAGCCCTGGTCCGGGAAGATCCCACAGGCTGTGGAACAACTAAGCCTGTGTGCAACAACTACTGAGCCCGTATGTCACAACTACTGAAGCCCGCATACCTAGAGCCCATGCTCTGCAGCAAGAGAAGCCACCACAATGAGAAGTCCGCATACCACAACAAAGAGTAGCCTCCGCTCACCGCAACTAGAAAAAGCTGTGCACAGCAACGAAGGCCCAAAGCAGCCACAAATAAATAGATAAATAAATAAATAAATTTAAATAAATAAATAAATTTAAATAAATAAATAGTATTGAGACAACTGGCTAAGAATTTGGGAAAAATAAAAATTAGTCCTTTACAACTTATATCATAGCAAACAAAACAAAAACTCTGTATGCTTTAAAAGGGTTAAGGGTAAAAATAAAGCTATAAAAATATTAGAAGAAGGATACGGAAGGATATGTAGGGAAGTCTTTTCTAATGAACAAAGTAAAACCTATAATGTAAACAAAAAGACTGACAAATTTGACTGTAATAATTAAAACCTCTGTCCAGTGAAAGATACTATAAACAATATTAAAAGATAAATGACAGAAAGGGAAATATATTTGTAATATATTAGCAACATCTTTAACAAAAGCATATTATCTAAACTATGTAAGGTATTATTGAAATTAAGAAAAATACAACAACCTAATAGAAAAACATGTAAAGTGCATATGAACAGGTAACTTCTAGAGAAAAAAAATACAAATCACTTAGTTGCAATCAGGAAAATTGTAAGAAAGAAAATGAGATACCCTTTTTCATTTACCAGATTGGCAAATACCAAAAGGATTAATATGAAGTATTCCTGGTGGTGGGCATGTAAATTTGGTGAAACCTCTTGGGAAGGTAGTTTGGAAACGTGTCAAAATTTAAAAAGTGACTATTCTTTTTAGAGAAAACCCAAAGTAGGAGCCTACTTTGAAGACAGTACTCTTTGGATCAATTCATTCTCAAGTTTATTAAAAATTAATTACATTATCTCGACATAATAAAGCCCACATATTACAAGCCCACAGCTAACATCATACTCAATGGTGAAAAGCTGAAAGTATTTCCTCCAAGATCAGGAACAAGACAAGGATGCCCACTCTCACCACTTTTATTCAACATAGTGTTGGAAGTCCTAGCCACAGGAATCAGACAAAAAAAAAGAAAAATAAAAAAAAAAGAAGCAAAAGGAATCCAAATTGGAAGGAAAAAGTAAAACTGTCACTGTTTACAGATGACATGATACTATTCAAAGAAAATCCTGAAGATGCCACCAAAAAAACTACTAGAACTCAACAATGAATTCAATAAAGTTGCAGGATACAAAGTTAATATACAGAAATATGTTGCATTCTGTACACTAACAAGAAACTATCAGAAAGAGAAATTAAGAAAAACATCCCATTTACCACTGCATCAAAAAGAAGAGAATAAATCTAACTAAGGAGGTAAAAAACCTGTACTCAGAAAACTATAAGACACTGAAGAAAAGAAACTGAAAACAACACAAACAGATGGGAAGATATACTGTGTTCATGGACTGTAAGAATTAATATTGTTAAAATGATCATACTACCCAAGGCAGTCTACAGATTTGATGCAATATCTATCAAAATAGCAGTGGCATTCTTCACAGAACTAGAACACATAATTTAAAAATTTGTATGGAAACAGAAAAGACCCCAAATAGCCAAAATTGATTTTTTTTTTCAAGATTTTCAATCAGTTTCAAGATTGCTTGAGAAAGAAAAGCAAAGCTGGAGGTATCACACTCCCTGATTTCAAACAATACTATACAAAGCTACAGTAATGAAAACAGTATGGTACAGGCACAAAAACAGACACATAGATCAATGGAACAAAACAGAGAGAGTCCAGAAATGAACCCATACTTCTATGGGCAATTAATCTATGACCAAGGACTCAAGAATACACAATGGGAAAAGACAGCCTCTTCAATAAATGGTGCTGAGAAAACTGGACAGCTACATACAAAAGAATCAAACTGGACTACTCTCACACCATGCACAAAAATACATTCATTGAAGACCTGAAGACCTGAAATGTAAATGTAAATGTAAGACCTGAAGCCAGAGACTTCTAGAAGAAAACATATGCAGTGTGTTCTTTAACATTGGTCTTAGTAATATTTTTTTGGGATATGTATCCTCAGGCAAAATAAACAAAAGCAAAAATAAACAAATAGACAATATCAAACAAAAAAGCTTTTGTGCAGCCAAGGAAACTATCAATAAAACAAAAAGGCCACCTACTGAATGGGAGAAGTAGCAAACAATAAATCTGATAGGGGGTTAATATCCAAAATATACAAAGAACTCATAAAACTCAACATCAAAAAAACAAACAACCCAATTTAAAAGTGGGCAGAGGATCTAAACAGACATTTTTTCCAAACAAGACATACAGATAGCCTACAGACACATGAAAAGATGCTCAACATCACTAGTCATCAGGGAAATGCAAATCAAAATCACAATGACATATCACCTCACACCTGTCAGAATGGCTATTATCAAAAAGACAACAAATAACACGTGTTGGTGAGGATGTAGAGAAAAGGGAACCCTTGTGCACTGTTGGTAGGAATATAAATTGGTGCAGCCACTATGGAAAACAGTATGGAGGCTCCTCAAAAAATTAAAATTAAAAATAGAACTACCATATAATCCAGCAATTCTACTCCCAAGTATTTATCCAAAGAAAATGAAAACACTAATTAGAAAAGATATAAGCACCTCTATGTTCATTGCAGCATTGTTTACAATAGCCAAGATATGGAAGCAACCTAAGTGCCCATCAATAGATGAATGGATAAAGAAGATATGGTAAAAATATACTATGGCATATTACTCAGCCATAAAAAGAATGAAATTGTGATATTTGTGACAACATGGATGGACCTAGAGGTAATTATGCTAAGTGAAATAAATCAAACAAATACAGTGTGATATAACTTATATGTGAAATCTAAAAAACAAAACAAATGACACACAGAAAACAAAAACAGAGTTATAGATACAGAGAACAAGTAGGTGGTTGCCAGAAGGCAGGGTGATGGCAGGAGGAAAGACATAGGTAAGGGAGACTATTTTCCAGTTGCAAGATGAATGAGTCATGGTTATGAAATGTACAGTGTGGGGAATACAGTCAATAAATATGTGATATTTTTGTATGTGCAATATTATAACTAGACATAACTAGACTTATTGTGGTGATTGTTTTGAAATGTATAGAAATATTGAACACTATGTTGTGTAAAAGGAACTACTCTAGTGTTGTAAGTCAATTATACTTCAAAAAAAACCCCAACTCATAGAAAAAGAGATCAGATTTGTGGTTAACAGAGCTGGAGGGTAGGGGATGGGAAACGGGATGAAGACAGTCAAAAGGGACAAACTTCTAGTTCTAAGATAAATAAGTACTCAGGATATATGTACAACATGATAAACATAATTATCGCTACTACATGTTATATATGAAAGTTAAGAGAGTAAATCCCAAGAGTTCTCATCACAAAGAAAAATATGTATTTTTTCTATTTAATTTTATATCTGTATGAGATGATGGATATTCACTAAACTTACTGTGATAATCATTTCATGATGTATGTAAATCGAAGCATTATGCCGTACACTTTAAACTTATACATGCTATGTGTCAATTATATCTCAATAAAACTGGAAAAATATTTAAAAATCAATCACATTATATAATGTTTTTGAATGCATAAGCCAAAGATAGGAAAATATTAGTAATTAAAATAAAAGGAAGTAAGAATGACCTGGAATAGTAAGATGGCAGTAAGGAATGGAACACTTAAAATGAGCCTGAGGGAAATGTTCCTCAGACAACAGATGGATTATGCAATGCTCTCCAGAAGGCCTTGGTGAAAAGTCACTTGTGACATTTAAATGGAGACTAGTGAATACATATGCATTTTGTAAATAAGTTTATGAAATAGTCAAAATACTAAATTGGATAATCTCTTAAATATTTTGCAACTCTTCTGCTGCGACTTTCTGAACAGGTCCAAATATATTAGCAATATAATTTTGCTATTACAGGTTCAAAAGCATCATGCTACCTTGTTTCCAACATCATGTAAAATTCATACAAAAGATTAAAAATTAGTAGACATTTTGGAGACTTATCACAGCTGGTTAGAAAAATAATCTCCAGATAAGCATGTGGAGTCCAAGCATATAAAGAAAACCCATTTTCAAGTAATTTTCAAAGCAATTTGTCAACCATGACAGCATAATTTTATACAGATATTAAATCCTGATTTCAAGTACAAGGCATATAAACTTTCCTACTCAGAAGTTATAATCTGATTTTTAAAAACATTATTTCATATTTTATTTCCATTTTGAGATTTTTTTTCCCCCTTTCCTCTTTCATGTCCAGAAACCACTAAGCCATTTAAGTACTGTGGAATGCTTACAATTCTCCACATCCCATGGAGGTAGATTATTTTCAATGGAACTATTGCTTTCTCTGTAAAATTAATCAAGGGACAGAGCCTTTAGGACATGGATACATTTCTTTTCCATCCACAGTGAACTCAGTTCTGGAGACAAATCAAATACTGACCACAGCACCTCTAGTTCCTCTGGCACCTTTAGGACCACTTTCCCCAATTTGTCCAGGAGCACCTCTCCTTCCAATTTCTCCCGTGGGCCCCATTTGTCCTTTATCACCCTGTGGATGCCATTAGTAAGAGAGAAAAGTAAGAAAAAAACAAACTTATACTCAGATTAATTAACTATATCATATACCTGAATGGCTCCAGAGGATATTCTGTAAGCAAAATTCTATAAATAGTAACTTTGCTTTAACTTAATAGTACTACAGACCACCACTGACAATAATAACACACCATTGCTACCTATGTTACCTTAAAGATATAATTAAAAGTAATTTTGGAAAAAAGAATATTAAAAATTTTGGCCAAACAAGCAGGGAAGATATGGTGCTCATGCTGAGTTACAAATAAACCAAGTTTATTATTTTGAAATTTGTTATGCATTTATGTATGAATGCATGCATACATGTATTTATTCCTGACATGAGAAAACACAGGCCCTATGAGAAACCTGTTTCTACAGAGAATTTCAATGGCCCAAAGATCTGTCTAATGCAAAAAGGCTCTAGTGTGCAGTTCTGTATACTCAGTATCATCACTTACTTGGTTGGAGTTTGTGTTTAAAAATCTGTAACGTTTTTGTATGATTTTACATCCTTCTGAAAACTAATTACCTTCTGTTTTCCAATAGGCTAACTAATCATTCTCTAATACCAAAGTACAGCAGCTTTTAAACATTAAATGTTATAATTCATTTTCTGCATGTTGGAACCAACCTGTTCTACTATTGATAATCAAGTAGATACAAAGAAAAATTAAACAGTGATCACAGTCAGGAAATTTTTGGTTATTTATAATAATTCACAGGCTTTCCCAAAGACACAGGCTGTTGTAAGGACCTGCACTGTCCTACTTGTAAAATCATTTAGACATAATATTATGTCTGATGAAAAGAGACTTCAATATTGGGCTTATTTTCATGGGTAAGAATGGCAACTAAAATTTACCTCTTTCACTTTTATCTTTTATTATCTTATACTGTCCCCAAATTATGAAAAAGATGGACTAGGTGCATATTCACAGAAATGACAGATCCGATTTTGGGAACTAGAATATGGTGTAATTTGTGGTTAATTATAGTAAATATATTCAAAACTGTTGTAGTACAATGTGAAAATCATTTTTATGTCTCACCAATACTTGAACAAATTATTGACTCTACCCAAGGATGAATTATTCATTATATTGTGCTAAATTTTACAAACACATCACATTTTCTTAGTAAAATATAAAGGAAGCAAATAAAACATACTGTTTTCTGTTTCTTAGTTAATGTATAGGAAAGATAAAATCAATCATTAACCTTTTCAATTTGGAAAAGTACAATTAAAACAAACCCAGAAACAGTTCTAATATTTCTCTCCCCCGAAATATTTTACTAATGTTGTTACTGAGTAGCACAAATCATATAGTATTTTTCTTTTCTCTCTTTTCCTGCCCATGGTCCACTAAGGTAAACAGGAGAAGAAAAGGCAAAGATCTTTTCATAAACTACAAGGTAGAAAATTTGACTTCAGATTATAAGTAATAAGGTAATAAGTACTCCTAAGTGGAATTAAATATTAATTTATACAAATGTGCCTTTTAAGCCAAATTTATCGTTCTTTATTGTTTTATCTCCAGTGCAAATAAAAACACCACAGTATGCTACGGAGCTCTGGGCATGTCCGAAGGAAGAAAACCAGCATAAAAAGACGTAAAAAAAAAAATTACCTTCTTCCCTGGACGACCTCTTTGTCCTGGCAGTCCCACAGTTCCTTCAGGCCCCTGAATATCGAGTATGAAAAAGGAAATACATTGTTAAAGATAGGACTAGAAAGAATGTTTAAATACTTATATCACATAATCACTGATTTGAACACTAAGTAAAAACAAGGGTTACTTCTTAACAATATTACGTTTGTATAATTATTTAAAAAGAGGTCATGATGATTTAGAAGCCCAGCTGTTACCAGTGAGTAAGGTTCACATAAACAAACTGGCCGGGCTTCCCTGGTGGCGCGGTGGTTGAGAGTCCGCCTGCCGATGCAGGGGACACGGGTTCGTGCCCCGGTCTGGGAAGATCCCACGTGCCGCGGAGCGGCTGGGCCCGAGAGCCATGGCCGCTGAGCCTGCGCGTCCGGAGCTTGTGCTCCGCAACGGGAGAGGCCACAACAGTGAGAGGCCCGCGTACCGCAAAAAAAAAAAAACCACAAAAAACAAAAACAAAAACAAAAACAAACTGGCCAAGATAGACCAAATTAAACTGTTCTTAACTACAGAGGGAAAACAACTTGATTTTAGTACACCCATTGAATTAATGATAATGTAATTAAAGTTAACCCAAATGCATCCATTTCAGCAGTTCTGTGAGCTAGTATGGGTTCAACATCTTGTTGAATGTATAGTACTATACCATATATCTAACATACTGTCAAGGAGAATCTTAAAATCTCAATGAAGTGTAAGATTAAGCAAATATTATTTGATCTGTGGAAAAAAAAGGAGAGAGGGAAAATACATGGAGAGAAAAGAGATAGTCATATCAAACTGTTTAAAACAATATTTTCACTTCAACCTGTATTTTGTTTAGACAAAAGTAGACTAAAAGTTTTCAATAAACACTTTATTAAAGTAAGAAGTGGCTAAAATAATTTAAATGTCATGTGAATTTGCAGGTCAACAATGGTTAGGCTTAAATGAGATCCATAGTAAGCCAGACTGCAAGCTCTAAAATAGCTAATAATTAATCATAGCATTCCTTGCATTAGTTGGAAATGAAAATGGAAATTTCAAATTTGCGTCCCAAAGCTTGGCAAACTGCAAAAATGATGCAGACAAGAAATAAATTGTGGTTTACCACTGTGCTGCGTTGGCTCTTGATAAATATTTGTTGAACGAATAAACAGATACCTAAGGAAATGAGTCATGCCCTGTGCTCCTGAGCAAATGTTCTTCTAGCTTCAGAAAGTCCACTGAATTTAGAGGCCATACTGGTTAAGTTCTACTGCTGTAGTTCTAGCTGCATCCAGAGGTTGAAATGATAGTTGCACTAACATGAGACTTCTTTGTGGTTAACGTGGACTTTTTAAGAGAGGCTGATTAACATTCATAGAGGTTAACGATATGAGCATTTAAGTCAGACAGCTGTAGTTTCATGTTCTGGCTCTGTCACCTAATGGCTATATGACCATAAGTAGACTATTTGACTTCTAAAGTCCTCAGTTTCCTGTTATATAGCAGGGATATATTAATACTTCTTCAAAGGGTTACTAAGATTGAATGAGATAATGCATTCAAAGCTTAGAAAGGAATAGACTTATACTGAAGAGCTCAATAAATGTCACTTCTCACGAATGTCTGTTGTCTTTTTAAAGTGCATTATGTAATATTTAAATATATATAAATATATATAGAAGATATTAAAAGGTATAATGAGCACCCATTTACCTACCACCCACTTTAAGAAACAGAAGCTACACACACACACACACACACACACATACATACAACTGAAGTCCCATATATAAACTTATGTTAGCAGACACATCACCTTCCCCCCTCACTCAGGTGCAACAATTGTCCTCAATCTGTTTATCATTCACATGCATTTCTTTATACTTTCACTCCATTTGTATATATTCCCAAATATTATATGGTTATTTTGCATCTTTTCAAACTTTCAATAAGCAGTATCACACTTTATATATTCTTCTGAAATTTTTTGAACACAACATTTTGTTTTTGAAATTATTCAGTGTCTCTGCTTTACTTACACTTTGTTTTCACTCCTACAGGATTACATTTTGTTATCAAACCACAACTTATTCAACCATTTTCCTAGTGAAGAATTTTTGGTAGTTTTTTTTTTTTTTTCTGTTACAGATAATGCTGCAATAAACACTCTTGTACATATCACTATGTGCCCACGTCAAGAGTTTTTTGGGCGAGGGTATATACCCTGGAGTTGAATTGCTGGCTTGTAGGATATATGCACGTTTCAGTATACAAGATTTTGCCAATTTATATTCCCAAAGCAACGTTTAATAGTTCCAATTACTCCAAATCTTCCATAATGCTTGGTACTATCAGACTTAAAATTTGTCTGTCTCAAGGGAGCAAAATGATGTATTATTTGGGATTTCAATTCACATGTCCCTGATTATTAAGGAGGAATGAATATCTATTTATACAGTAATTCAACATCTATATGTGAATCTCTAGTTCTCATCTTCTGTCCAGTATTCTACTGGGCTGTCCTTAATGTCCTGATACTTGTATTTCATTCATTCTGTATATCACAAATCTCTTTTCCCAGCCTGGAGCTTATTTTCTCACTTTGTCCACTATAATTTTTCACTAACACAAATTTGAAATTTTAATGTAGTCAGATTCATCACTATTTTCTTCTTGTTTTATTTCTTTAGTGCTTAAGAGATCCTTACTGCTTCCCCTTCCTCCATGAGGTCATAAAATGTTCTCCAATTTAAAATTTTGATTTTTATAATTAGGTCTTTAATCTAATTGGGATTTCATTCTTTTGTGTGCTTGTACTTTCATGTGAAGGAGAGGTTTGTTTTTTTCCATTTGGATAACCAATTGTACCAGTACCATTTACTGAATATATTATCCTTTCCTTATAAATCTGCAATGCATAATCAATTTATTAAACTTTAAGTTTCAAAATATCCTTAGATCTGAGTCTACATTCTATTTCCATTGGTCTATTTGTCTATCTGTGAATGAATGACACTGACTAAATGACTAGCTTCAATAATAAGTTACGATATCAGGTAGGGCAAGTTCTCCCTCTCAAATACCACTCCCCACCAACATCAGCAACCTGTTCTTGAAAACTGTCTTGATATTGGACCTTTGATCTTCCACACACATTTTAAAACCACTTTTCATCAATCCAGTTATATAAAAAAAAAACCTGTAGAGATTGTGACTGAAACTGTACTGAATTTATAAGGGAGAGTTAAATTTTTTTGATATTGAGTTTTCCTATCCATGAAATATCTCTCCATTTATTTAGGTCTTTGTTAATAAACTACTACACACTTTTTTTTCAATAAAATTTTGCATATCTTTTGTTAGATTTATTCCTAGGTACTTAATTTTTGCTGATTGTATTGGATTTTATTTTTAAATTATATTTTTAAAAGTTTTCTGTTTCTTGCTGGTAGAAAAGAATGGAATCTTTTTTTTGGTATATTAATTTTATATATAGCATCTTGCTAAACTCTCATGAATTCTAATAATCTGTCTGTAGATTACTTCTCTCATTTCACTGTACTGGCTGGGACTCTGAGTAAATGGGGAATAGAAATGGTAAATAGTAGTGACCTTTGCTCATTTCTTTTAAGTTTCACCATTAAATATCATAGTCAACGTATGGAAGTTAAATTTTACTACATGTTTTTTTTTTTTTTTTTTGCGGTACGCAGGCCTCTCACTGTTGTGGCCTCTCCCGTTGTGGAGCACAGGCTCCGGACGCGCAGGCTCAGCGGCCATGGCTCACGGGCCCAGCCGCTCCGCGGCATGTGGGATCTTCCCGGACCGGGGCACAAACCCGTGTCCCCTGCATAGGCAGGTGGACTCTCAACCACTGTGCCACCAGGGAAGGCCACTAAATGGTTTTTGTTTTATCTATTGAGAGGATAGTTTTTCTTCAATATGTAAATACGCGACTTAATTTTATAATTTAAAAAAAAAGTTAGACCTTTGTTGCAATACTAACAGGGAATTCATAAATCCCTTTATCCTGTCAGTACTCCAAAATGGTACTGAATTTAAATACTCAGGTATCAGCTGAAAACCATGGCATGACAATGCTACCTGCCAACCAACAATTTAGTTTAGGCATCACTGTAAGTTATATATTTAAATATCATATATTTAATATTTAAACATTATATATTTAAATATTAAGAAAAATTTGTGGATAATGCAAAAATAACAGCTCTGACATAAGTGACAAGCATAAGTAAGTTTCACAAATGTGTATAATTGAGACATTTGTTGTTATTCTGAAAGATGACTTACACATTCATCTCTATCTTCAAACCTCCATTCCCTCCTCATTTTCAAGTTAATAACCTTGCTTCATATCTGAGAGATAGTAGCAATTAAACGAGAGCCATCTCCTCTTCCCAACACCCAACTTCCCAATACACCTACTTATGCACCCACATATTCTGCTTCTCTTCTCTTACAAAAGAAGTGTCTCTGTTTCCTGCCTGAGGCCAGCTCCTCACTTACACATATAAGAAGCCCATGTCCTCTCACTTATTCAAGGCTCTCTCTTCTGAAAATATCCCCCTTTCACTTGCACTATCAATTTTTCTCTCTTGACTGGATCATTTCCAATAGTATTCAAATATGCTAAATATTACTCATTAAAAAAATCCTTCCTTGATCTCATGTCCCTCCCTTCCTTCCTACCTTCCTTTTGTCTTTTCCATTCTCTCATTCAATTTCTCATGTACTTTTCTAGCAACATTTTCTGCTCCCCCTTCACAGAAAAACTTTTGAGAGACTTGTTTATGCTCATTGTCACTATTTCCTTACTCTCATTCTCTCTTCATTTGGGCTTTTGTTCTTACCACACCTCTGAAATTGCTCTTTTTCAGGTCACCAACTGACTTCCATATAGCCACCTCCAATGGCTGGTTATCCAACTCATTTTATCGGAAACTTCTTTTTCATTCTTGAAACTTTTTTAAACCTTTGTTTTTATGGCAGCACACTTCCCCGATTTTCCACTTACTTATATCTCCTTATAT